CGCCAGAAGATGAGATCTGTCGGGAAGAGGAAGCGAGGGCAAGGACAGGCGAACCTCCTACATGGTACAGCCCGGATGGGCATGGGGTCCTCGGAGGTCTTGAGTAGCACCTGCATGGGCGACACTCTCGCCTCCTCCATCTCACCACTCTCCCGCATCACCTTCTGCTACACGCTTGCCACCACCTCAGCTGCTGCCACCTCCAACTGCCATGTCAGCACGGGGTGGGGGAGGAAAGGGCAGAAGGGAGAGAGGCGAGGAGAGCGAGAGAGAGGAGGCCGAGAAAAAGGCGGTCGCTAATAACTTTTCAAGCACTCTGAGCACTTGTGAGTTGCGTTCTTCTTCAAGAATGACACACAGGCATATCGAGCATTTACAATGAACGCAATATTATCCAGTAGTTTCCTACCAGCGGAAGCGTGTTAGCGAGGCGAGTGCACATGAGGTGGCACAGCCCTCCTCCTTGCTCGCCAAGTCTTTAGTCCACCTCCAATACGCCCCCACCCCCCCCCCCTCCCTCCCTCTCCTCCTGCAGCCGCTCCTTGGGGGTGGAGGGATGAGGGGAGCGCTCCCTGATGGGGGGAGGTGGCGGGTGTGTGTGGGGGGGGAGAGGGGAACTCGTGTATATTAACAGTCTAAAAGAACCACTTTCTAGAGGCTTCTGAATCCGCGTCCCGTTTTCTGGGTAAGGGAGAGATGATGCATTTTAAGCAGCGCTGAAACGGCCAGGTCATCCGAGTCCACCTCCAGCATGGTTTATGAGTCATGATTTTATCGTCTTCTGTAAAAAAACGCATGTAAGCCCACATCCAGCGTGCCGCCGCCCTTCCTGCAACTAGTGCCTAGAAGGAGGGGAGCAGGGGGTTGGTGTGAGAGGTCTCAAGGCTCAGTGGGCGCACGGAGGGGAGCGGACGGGCAAGCACTGAGGACGGAACGGCACCGACCGTATGGTGCAGAATGGAGAAATGCTGACTGTCTGGTGCGTTGGTAGCAGGCGGCCCCCGTTACAAGAACACACGCGTGCATGCACATGTGTCGCACCTGTAAATGAAGCGGTCATGGTATTGCGGATCATTCGTACGAACTCGCGGAGCTTCTGCTGCGCGGCGTATTGCGTGATTCCCGCGTCGCCCAGCGCATCGTTATCGGCCGACCCTTCCGACTCGTAAAAAACATAATTGTTGTATAACATCTGCCCCTCGTTCCACCCTGACAAGGCAGCCGCTGATTGGCGCGTGAAAATCTGCAATAGAAACGCAATTTGCAGCGTACGAGGCTGATTCCAGGAATTATTGGAGACACATAATTCGGTTTAGTGTCCTGAGTTTGCTTGTTAGATGTGTACGCATCGAGGCTTGTCCTTCTGATCGGGTTGAGTTATGGGAGAGAACTGACCTATTCACAGCAGGGAAATAGCAGCGACTCGTTACTGTGTTCTGACTAGGTTGGAAGTGCCATAAGTTTCATGCATATAGCATGGGCCTTTCTCCTTGAAATTCAGGAAACTTTGTAAGAACTACATAGGTTCTTCCATCCACTTTTATCGCTGTAGCCAACAAGGAGTACACAAGTTCCACCTTGGTCAAAGCAGTTTCACCAGCTCAGCAGGGCGAACAAATGGCTTTCTTCCCTCCCGCTCGCTTCTTCACTCTGAGGTTCCCAACCAACTTCCCGCCCTACTGCTCGTAATTTCTGATGGTCAGCAAGGTAGCAATCCCAAGAACTCAGACAATCGCCATGTGGCGATTGGATGGTGTTTGACAGTCGAATTCTTGATTCCAGCCCTAGCTTCCCAGAAGCATTTTGCCGAAGCCGCGACGGCCGCACCCGGCAAATTCTTGAGAATTCCACTTGGCACATGCCCCGCATGCTTCGAAGCGCCAAACGGCGGGAGGGTGGAGCGAGTAGAGCTCCCAGGACATTTCGTGCGCCACACCCGGCGAGTTTGGCCGAGTGGTTTGACCTCATGCCTCGAAGCGCCAAGCGCCAAGGGGTTGGACCTCGGGGGATGTTTCTCGACGATGGTTACGGATCGGTGCAGCAATCTGTGCTCCAGAATTCGCCCGACGGCTCGAGGCGCGATGCTGAATATTTAAACGACAGATGCTCGGATCGTTACCATCGCATTCATCAGCCGAGCATTCAATAGTCCAGTCACATCCTAATTCAAATACCTTTCACCTGTTTTTTAGGGTTCTCCAGCTCCCATCCACACCGTCCAATTTTGTACTCATAGGAATCTCGACGTTACCAAATGGCAAGCCAGAAGATCCTCGTCGCTTCCCTTCTCGTCCTGCTCGCCGCTCTCGTGACTATCTCTGACTTCCCTTCTGCTCACGGTACGATTGTCCTGCCCACATACCGCAAAATCTTGAACAATTCAGTGATCGCAGCACATCATGAAGTCATGGCTTTATAGTCCCGTAATGAAAGAAGAGCATTGACCCCTTCCCCCCTGCAGGTGCACGAGCTCCATTCGCGAGAGTCTCATCCCCCGTTACAGTCACACGGAGGGTGCTGCACAGCTCCAAGACATGCTCAGACAAGTACGAGTCGAAGCTGCAGCGGTGCGAAGAAAAGGAAACACAATGCATTGACCGCGCGCGCGACTGGCGGCACGAGCAGAAATGCAACGAGAAGCGCGGCGAGTGCGAATCGGACGCGAACGACGCATTCAATGAGTGCCAGGAGGAGTGCGTCGAGAAGTGTGATGAGCAGCTGAACGAGTGCTACGATGACAATCATCACAACAGCCGCAAGTGTGACAGGAAGGATCAGAAGTGCCGCGACAAGTGCAACTGAACTCAAGTAGGGGGGGAAGGGATTGAGCAGTAGGTGAGAGTAGGTGCTGTGGGGTTTGCGCGCATAGTGTACCTTCTTTTGGGGTGTGTGTGTGGTGGTCTCGGGTTTAGTATCTTGTGGTGTCTGGCTTGGGTTGGGCGGTGTTTGTACGTTAGTATGTCTGTTATTGCCTTATGATTGTATATACCTCCGTACGTACCTCATCATGTCTCAGCACGGGCACATCAGAACAGAGCAACGCTGTTATGCATGCAAGGCAGGGCATGCCTTGCTAGCAACACATGCTTAAAAGCAGTATGAAAGACTCAATATGGGTATGCAGGACAGGCCCTACGATATCAGGAATTTTTTCCTGAAATTCCTGATTTTCAGGGATTTTTTTGTACCTACACTGATTTTTCAGTGTTGAGAATTTTGTGACACTGATTTTTCAGCCTTTATTTCATAGTTGACACTGATTTTTCAGTCTTTTATCGAAGTGTACACTGAATGCACATTCCGAATCCTTCCTGTCAACCAACATTTTCTGATTTTTCACGTACGACAACGTAAGAGATTGAAGGTTTAGTAGATCAACTGTCTCAGTGGTTTGTGATTTTCTACAGACGGGTAAGGGCCCGGTTCGAATCCCTCCGCTGTCATGTTTTGTAAAGCCTACCCTTTTCATTTGCTTGAAAATTCAGGCTTTGTTTTTTAGGAACCCTGAAAATTCAGGGGTTTTTTTTTAGGAACACTGAAAATCAGGGTTTTGTTCACAGGGACCCTGATGCATCAACGTCCCTTAAAGTGAATCTGAGGGCCTGATGCAGGAGGTAGGGTTGCGCTTGAGTTAGGCTCAAGGAGCACTAGTTGTGCGTGTCACTTCTCACCTTCCTCTCACCTCCTCTCCCTTCTTTCTCTCCTATACAACCGCACAATTCCAACGTCACACACCCACCGCTCCTTCCCCCTTTCCTCGTGGTCCCCCTCTTCTGCTTTGACAAGTGATTTAACTGGAAGGACTGATGTAAACAGCAAGTAGAGTCGTCAGTAGCTGCTGCAGACACAGTGTGTCAGTGACCATTGCGGTGGCACTCATGTCAGCCTTGGCGGCCGCCTAGCTGCCTACGAGAGGTCTACTATGCAAGCCATTGTCTGTCATGCTCTAAGTTGCATAGACGAGAGAACCAGGAAGCTTGGGTGGGAGCCTTGAATGATTGAAACTTGAAAGCTGGAAGCACAGTCACTGTGAGAAGTTCTTGAGACTTGTAGGAATTTCAGTTACTGTAATACCCCGGATATAAGCGCATCTGCGCTTATAATAAAACAGTGTTTTTTAGGGGGGTGCGCTTATAAATGAGTCAAAATTATAAGCGCATGCGCTTATATAATGACAAACACATAAATATGTTATAAACGCACCAAACTGTGCATCTGAGTCTTGAAATCTCATTCAAATCGAAATGTGTGGAGGGTTCTGCTTCAGAATCGCGCGAGGGCGATTCTTTGCCGGCGCACAAGGGCAAGGAAGGACACGTCACTTTCGCATAGGAATGTGTCATGCTCGCCCCAGCCCAGTGTACGAACCAATAGCTTGCAGTCGCTCGTTTGCATCGCACAGGCTTGCCCCAGTGTACGACCAATGGCCTGCAGTCGCTCGCTCGCAGCGCACAGACAACAGTTGTTCCCGAGCCCCCTGTCAGCTCAACTTCGCGCCGTTGCGCTTTTCCTGAGCGAGCCCGCCCTCGAGGGAGTCGAACAGAGTAGAAGTGGATGTGGACTCGCTGCAAAACGGGAAGTCGTTACTGTTTTAATCCGGTTATTTTATAATATGTTTATACATGCGCTTATAATAAATAAGGGTTTTATAAGGGGTGCGCTTATAATTGAGGATCGGCCATAAGCGCATTGCTCCAGATATAAGCGCATGCGCTTAACATAGGCCTGCGCTTATATCCGGGGTGATACGGTACGGTACATCATTGCATGCAACATGAAAAATTCTATAATACCAGTAACAAACAGCATCTTAAAAAAGTTTCAGCTGCTTCTTGTAGGTCGACTTGAGATATGCTTGGTTGATTTGATTAGATCAGGAGAATTTGACAAAAAGTCAATGGTGTCCTTCATCCCCACAATGAACGTGTCAATCTCCTCCTTTGTGTTGTACACATACGCGCTCGCCGCGCACTCGCGCTTTGAGTCGACTCAAAACTAGATCAGGAGAAGTTGACAAAGAAGTCAATAGTGTCCTTGAGGCCGACAATGAACGCATCAATCTCCTCCTTTGTGTTGTACACATACGCGCTCGCCCTCGCACTCGCATTGATGCCCAGCTGCTGGTGAATGGGCTGTGCGCAGTGGTGCCCGCTGCGGATGCCCACTCCGTGCTGGAAGGGTGGAGGTTGGGGAAAACGAGAGGGAGAGGGAAACGGGGAGAGGAGGGTGGGAGAAGGCACGGGGAAGCATGAATGGGCTGCGCACAGTGGTGCCCGCTGCGGATGCCCACTCCGTGCTGAAACGGCGGAGTTTGGGGAGCAGAGAGGGAGAGGGGAAAGGGGAGACGAGGGCGGGGGAGGCATGAATCTGCTGCGCACAGTGGTGCCCACCGCAAGTAGCCGCTCTATGTTGAAAATGGCAACAATTGGAAATGAGAGAAGGCAACGGGAGAGCGGAGAGGGGGGAAAGGAAGGGGGTGGACAGAGGGGGAGAGGGGGGGGGGAAGGGGGGCAGTGGGGAGGAGGGGCTACACATGCCATGCCCACACCTGTTGATCCAGGAAGGTGGCACGTCGGTGGCATGCATGCCATCCACACTGAATGTGTGGAGAGCAGCCGACCGCCCCTCTGGAGGGGGGCTTAGGGCATGGTATGGTATGGTATGGTATGGTATGGTATGGTATGGTATGGTATGGTATGGTATGGTATGGTATGGTATGGTATGGTATGGTATGGTATGGTATGGTATGGTGTACCTGTTGATCGAGGAAGGAGGAGACATCGGTGGCATGCATGCCATCCACGCTGAATGTGCACAACGCCGCCACCCGCCCCCTTTGGATGGCAGTCGGACCTCCCGGGAGCAGAGACGGTGGAGGAGGGCCGTAGATGCGCACTCGATCAACGGCTGAGAGCTGCTTGTAGAGGTACTCTGATAGATGCATCTGGAATAGGAAGGGTAGGACGGGAGGGAGGGGCAGCGGTAGAGTTGGAAGAAAGCATGCAACAGCAACATGCTAATCAAGGTGCCAATCGGAAGACTAGAGGTTACGGAAGCGACATAGCCCACATGCATGCTATACGGTCTGAAATCCATGACATCTATATCCAAAGATCCCCATGGCAAACCCCTCCTTCACATCACATCAAGATCTAGAGACATTCATCCATGCATCATGCCCATGCACGAATACCCCACAGATGTGCACACATTGCTACACATGTTCATTCATACAAAGCATTTGTGAACTGACGAATGGCCCAAGCATACCTCATATGCATGCACGTTATCCATGCCCTTAGCTGTCAGATAGTCCACTGCTGCTCCCAACCCTATGGCCTCCGCAATGGCTGGCGTGCCAGCTTCGAACCTGGAGAGCAAGAGAGGGGAGGGCAGGGAGGATAAGATGTGCGAGTTAAAACACTGGTCACATGTTAACTATATGGCATTAGCAATGGCTGCACCCCCAGCTTCGAATATGGGAGGGGGGGAAGGGAGGATGCGTTACCTGTAAAACCAGTCACAATCACCCCTGTGGCATCTCCAATGACTGGAATGGCATATTTGTAGCTAGGAAAGCGAGAGAGAGAGGGGAAGTACTGGGAGAATGGGGCAGCGGCGAGGGCAGTAAGTGGGGAAGTAACGACCAGAGGTGGGGAGCAGCTAGAGAGGATGAGAGATGTGGTGGCAGGTCCTGTTTTTGAGGCGCCTCAACAACAGACAGGAAGGGCGTACCTTGCAGGGGGATCGGAGTAGGTGGAATGGTCCAAAAAGACGTCCTGAATCATCTCGCCTCCTCCTGACGACAAAAGAATCACAGAAACGATCGGGCCAGTCGAATTGATTGGAGAGAGAAAGGTAAGAATGGGCCGAAGGGGGGTTAGTAGAAGGGAGGTGAAAGGTGAGACGAAAGAGACAGATAGGGGTCAGGTAGGGATCTGCAGCAAGTCCAGCCCCTGATTTATGTAGCCCAATAAGTAAGGGATGTTCATCTCTTTGTAAAGCTATCCAAATGTGGTCAGCTGAGTGGAACCTAACCCCTGCACGCTCATGTCATGAAGGGACGCGGATACCCTTGAGGGCACGTGCCTACCCATAAAGGGCGGCATGGAGGCGAGCACTTCGGATCGACCGTAAAGGAAGCCAATGCCCGTGGGCCCAGCCATCTTGTGCGAGGAGACCGCTGCAAAGAATGAGACGCCTCATAAGGGCACACTCTTACCCGTGAAGGGAGGCATGGAGGCGAGCACGTCGGATCGGCCATAGAGGAAGCCGATGCCCGTGGGCCCACACATCTTGTGGGAAGAGGCATGGTAACGGCATGCCACACACGCTTACCCATGAAGGGAGGCATGGAGGCGAGCACGTCGGCGCGGCTGTAGAGAAAGCCAATGCCCGTGGGCCCAGCCATCTTGTGCGAGGAGACCGCTGCGAAGTCCACCCCCAGCTGCTGCACGCGCTTACCCATGAGGACACACACTTACCCATGAAGGGCGGCATGGAGGCGAGCACGTCGGCGCGGCTGTAGAGAAAGCCAATGCCCGTGGGCCCAGCCATCTTGTGCGAGGAGACCGCTGCGAAGTCCACCCCCAGCTGCTGCACGCGCTTACCCATGAGGACACACACTTACCCATGAAGGGCGGCATGGAGGCGAGCACATCGGATCGGCCATAGAGGAAGCCAATGCCCGTGGGCCCAGCCATCTTGTGCGAGGAGACCGCTGCGAAGTCCACCCCCAGCTGCTGCACGTCCACGGGCATGTGCGGCACCGACTGGCACGCGTCTAGCAGCACCTTGGCGCCCACTGCATGCGCCCTTTCTCTGATCCGCTCCACTGGGGACTCGGAGCCTGAAGGATGGGGGTAAGAAAAGGGAGGGTGGGTGGGTAAGAGGCAACAAAGAAGTCACACTCTCCAGCTGCTGCACGTCCACGGGCATGTGTGGCACAGACTGGCACGCGTCTAGCAGCACCTTGGCGCCCACTGCATGCGCCCTTTCTCTGATCCGCTCCACTGGGGACTCGGAGCCTGAAGGATGGGGTTAAGAAAAGGGAGGGTGGGTGGGTAAGAGGCAACAAAGAAGTCACACTCTCCAGCTGCTGCACGTCCACGGGCATGTGTGGCACGGACTGGCACGCGTCTAGCAGCACCTTGGCGCCCACTGCATGCGCCCTTTCTCTGATCCGCTCCACTGGGGACTCGGAGCCTGAAGGATGGGGGTAAGAAAAGGGAGGGTGGGTGGGTAAGAGGCAACAAAGAAGTCACACTCTCCAGCTGCTGCACGTCCACGGGCATGTGTGGCACGGACTGGCACGCGTCTAGCAGCACCCAAATGTGAAAGGTGAGCCCCCAACTGCTAACTCAGTGAGTGACTCACTCAGCATGTTTGGTATGACACATGATATGCCACATGGTATGCCACATCGTGCGACACAGGGTGCGCTTGGCTTGGCACCCATTGAAACCACGACTCACCCAGCACGTTGGACACATGGTGCACGGCCCCTCCTTCTCAAATGACTTTTGAGTCGACTCAAAACTCACCCAGCACGTTGGAAACATGGTGCACGGCCACGAGCTTGGTGCGCGCGCCAATCATCTCCAGCAGCCGCTCATAGTCCACCTCCGCGCCCGCCGCATGCCCCTCCCTCTCCGCCTCCTCCGGCACTTTCAGGGGCGCAAACTTCAAAACCGCCCCGGTTTTCTGGGCTACAATCTGCCAGGGGACGATGTTGCTGTGGTGCTCCGCGACTGTGAGGAGCACTTCGTCGCCCGGGGAGAGGTTGGAGAGCCCCCACGAGTACGCCACGAGGTTGATTGCCTCGCTGGCGTTGCGCGTGAACACGATCTCCGACGGGCCCTGCGCTGTGTTGATGAACCGCGCTACTTTCTCGCGTGCCTTCTCGTACTCCTCTGTGGCCAGCATGCTGCGGGGAGGGGTGGGTGTGGGAGGAGGGGGAGAAGTGAGTGCAAAGTACAAGTAGAGGCGATCCTGGAAGGGCCCTGGCCCAACCTTCTCCCGTTGCTTCCCATACTCCTTTTGCTAACATGCTGTGAAAAGAAAAGGGTGGGTATGGAGGGCGAGGGGAGTGGGGATCGCAAAAGGGCCCTGGGACGGCAGGGTTGACGAAGCGAGCGAGCTGCTTCCTCCCACGCCTTCACACACTCCTCTGTGGCATGCATGCTCGGACAGGGGGAGAAGAAGGGAGGAGACGAGAACGTGAGGTGCTGAAGAAGGAGGAGAAGGGGTAAGAAACGAAGGTGAGTGAAGTGGGGAAAACGAGAATGTTTGGTTTTACAAACAGAGCTCGTTGTCTCCCCGGCCCACGGAGAGTGGGGGAACAAAAACATTAAGAGGGTGCTGATCGTTGATGCATGGGTGTCACGGCTCACCTCAGGTAGTGCACTGCACGTTGCAATACACATTATCATCGTATCATTGGTAGGTAGTGGTAGCCAGCACATCCGTGACGTTAATCGCTTGCATGCTTACATGGGTTACAGGCCACGCACTCAATGTCAAATACACCATGTACGCTCACCCGGGACAGTGTACACTTCAAGGCTCCTCGGCTTTGTGTCGTTTGCTCCATTCACCATGGTGCTGTTGATTGCACGCATGCATATACGCGTTACAAGCTCACCTGAGATAGTGCACACCGCGGTGCACATTGGCATTGTAGCGCCGGTAGTAGTCATCCATGGCGTTGATCACTTGCAGTGGCTTCTGCGAAGTTGCTGCACTGTCTAGATACACCAATGGCTGGCCGCCTGGCACCTCCTGATGCATTGAAAGAAAACAAGTGAGTGGAATAACGACGACATTGTACAATTCAGTTATATAAAGCCTCGGCAACCTCTTATCAACCGCATGGATGCACGCTCCACTGATTCACATAGAATACTGATTCTGAAGTAAAACTATGTGTTCTCGTGGACTGTAAACAGACACGGGCAAGTGTTGTCCAGTCGTCTCACAATTCAGGATGTAAGACGTTCAAAATTACCTGATGCAAAATCGGGAAGTCTTCGCGAATCGCCTTCCCTAGCCCCGTCGCATCCGCCGTCGACGCACTCGCATCCGTTGTTTCACGCGCTGACACCGACGCCTCGACGGCCCTTCGCTCAACGGCTCTTTGCAACCCGTTAGGGCTGCAACCGCTGCCGCCGCTAACGGCGAGGCGCCTCAAGCCATTGAATGAAATTAGGTTGGGTGAGAAGGAGGTTCGGAATGCCTTAGCTGCTGAGGCTACTGGTCTTGCTGGTGTCATTGCTGACGTGGCATGTTGAAGAGGTAGACGAGCAGAAGGAGAACTGATGAGAGCCATGCTAGGAAGACGAGCGATGGTGGATAAGTAGCGCGTGAGACGATACACAGGAACGGTATTGGAAAAAGGAGAATTGGCAGTCGATACGCTTATTCTGGGGCCAGGACAATCCTCGTAGCCTGCAAAGCAGAGTGGCGTGGATCGGACGCAAACAAGGTGAAGTGGCAGAAGCGAGATAGAAATCAGCCCAGTTCCGCGTTTCAGAAAGTGGCAAATGCGAGTGTGTGTGTGAATGAATTTGCGTGTGTATGTATACGCTTTGCCGGAGGAGGTAGAAAGAGGCGAATGGAAGAGCTGGAGCAGGCGAATCAGGTCAGCGCATGGCTGTGAGTGAGTGGCCGCCTCGATTCCTCCTCCACCTGACATGCACTCACCAACGCTGACGTGGCAGAGGAAGGGCCTTCGACCAAGTTCAAGGAACCATGCTTTTGATCGGAAGTGGATAGTCTGGTAAAGTAAACTTCCTTACGGTATTGTGACAGATTTTCGAATAGAAAATTAAAAAGGTATGCGCTTATACCAGTGGATATCATAGAGGCCACATACCAGGGCCCAAAATATCAGGGTAAAATACCCTTTTTGCCATTTCTGTAGGCCGATTTTTTCAGTTACCCTGATGAAGGCAGGCTAACCGTATAGTTTCCCTTTCTTCAAATTAGTGGTTTTTTTTTACCCTTTCAAAACAGTATAGTAGTTTACTTTCCCTGATTAAGAAGTGAAACATATGGGTTTCAGCAGTAGCGATCCGAAGAAATCCGTGTATCCCCAGTAGATATCCCGCGCGCATCAAGATTCGAACCTGTAACCTTGCCAGTCGGATGAAATCTAACAACTGATTTGTCAGAATCCCAACCACTAGACCATTGGGATAAAAGGGCTTGTTTCAGTAGCGGGTCAGTGCGCCCATAACCCCCCAGGCAAACGCGCCTGTAACCCCCCCTAGGATCGATCGGGGATCTCACAGTGCAGCTCTACTGACACCCCCCCACACTGGGAGGCCCAGGACTGAGCACAGTGGCAACGGCCTACATGTGCATACACCAGGATTCGAACCCGAGACCGCTCTGATACCATGTTGGAATCACTGAACAGGAATGAATGAACTAGCAATGAAAAGAGTACAAGTACCTAACCCTAGAATTGTGTACCCCCTATAGGCTAACCCACTGTAGCCTAAACTAACACAACATATATAATGTTTGACACACCCCCATAGGCAAAGTGGGGGAGAACTAGGGGTCACAAGACCAGTCAAGGTAAAGCAAGGCAAAACAAGCTCAGGGTGGATCTCAAGGGTACCACACAAATTCCGAGCACAAGCAAGTGGTCACAAGACCAGTTCACATGCAGGTTTATATATAGAGATCACAGTACAACAGACTAAAGAAGTAAGCAAGTGAGGTCCAGTAGGCACAAGGCCTAGAAGAGTGCAAAAGCGCTGATGGTCACAAGGCTGAAGCGCCTTGGTGAACACATCAGCAGTGTTGGCCTCAGAGGCCACGTAACGCAGGCGAAGCTGACCACGCTGCTGCAGCTCTCGAGCGAGGAAGTAACGCAGAGCAATGTGCTTCGTTCTGTGCTCCAGTCTGTGCTCCTCACACAAGGCAATGGCTGCCTTGTTGTCGACGTACAGCACTGGAGGAGAACGAGGCTGCTCTCCAAGGTCGGTCAGCAAGTAGGTGAGCCAGCGTAGCTCCTGGGCCGCCATGGCTGTGGCGTAGATCTCAGCCTCACAACTGGAGCTGAGAACAGAAGAAGAGCGAGTAGAACGCCAAGAAACAGAACCAGAGCCAAGACTGAAGGAGTAACCCTGAGACGACCGCTGAGTAGCCTGGTCGTCTGCCCAAGAAGCGTCTGAGTGTCCAGTGAGAACAACTGGGACTCGCCCTCCAAGCACTAGCCCCATGCCCGACGTACTGCACAAGTAGCGCAACACCCTCTTAGCTGCATCCATGTGCTCCTTCCGGTGACGGCCGGGAGCGACATAGCGTGCAAGAATGCTGAGAGGGTATGCAAGGTCTGGTCGAGTGCAGGTCATCAGGTACATGAGGCAACCCACAAGCTCTGGATACGGGCCACTCGGCTCTACGGACTCATCCGAAGGCAGAGCTGAGAGCGAGTGACCGGTAGGCAGAGGAGTGGGCTGAGGCGAGGAGTACGTGAAGCGGAAGCGCTGAAGGACCTGCTGCACCATGTGTGACTGAGTCAAGGTGATGGTGCGGCGTGCTCTGTCCCGGGTGATCCGCAAGCCAAGATAGCTTGTCAGTTCACCCAGGTCTGTGCACGTGTGTCTCTTCTGCAGCTCCGACTTCACGTGGGCGAGTGCCACAGTGTCAGCAGTAGCAAAAACCAAGTCGTCGACGTACACAAGGACGTAGAACGGCGGCAGTGAGGTGTCGGTGCGTAGAAACAGCGACGGGTCAGCAGTAGAAGGCGCGAACCCAAGAGCCGCAAGCGTAGTCCTCAGTGTGTCGTGCCACTCACGAGGCGCCTGGCGGAGACCGTAGACTGGCCGTCGGAGGCTCCACTGGGTACCAGGAGGGAACGACCCAGTGAAGCCAGGTGGACGGCGCAGCCAGATCTCCTCGTGCAGGCTGCCCTGCAGGAAAGCAGTGCTGAAGTCAAGCGAGTGGAGCTCGTAGTCACGCTGAGCGGCGACGTGCAGCAGAACCCGAAGAGTGGTCATCTTCGGGGTCGGGGAGAAGGTCTGGAAGAAGTCAACTCCCTCGCGCTGACTGAAGCCTCGTGCAACGTAACGCGCCTTGAAGACAGGCGGAGAACCCGGCGGCCGCTTCACCCTGAAAATCCACATGCCACTGACGATGTTCGCCCCAGGCGGGGGAACCTCGTCGACGTAGGTGCCTGTGGACTTCCAGGAAGCCATCTCTGTGTCCATGGCTGACTGCCACTGAGAGGAGTAGGGACCGGCCATCGCCTCTGCGTAAGAGCGTGGGGTCGGGATGTCTGGTGCATCCGGGTCTCCCTCAGGGGCAACAAGCATGGACACGAGATGGGGCAAAGCGGCAGCAAAGCACTGGAACTCCTCCTGCCTGTCCTCAAGGACGTCAGTGCCAAGAGCACACTCACCCCCGACGGACGGAGGACAGACAGACTCAGACTCAGCAACTAGGCTAGCAGCGTAGTCTAGACGACAGCGAGCAGCAAAGTCGACAAGCTCAGCAACTAAGGCAGACGCAGCAGCAGACTCAAAGGAAGGGTCAGTGACAACAGTGGCCAGGAGACGCGTGACAGCAGGACTGGTAGCACGAAGAGAGTCTGACCCAGGGTCAGGAAGAGCAGGAAGAGAGGAAGCAGGAGGAGACGGCAGTGGGACACGCTGTGGAGCAGTGGACGGACGAAGCGCCATCCGGTGAGTGCCTGGGACAGCAGGAAGACGCTGACGCTGGACTCGATGACTAGAGAGAGCAGTGCGGACAGGCGACCCAGGACGAGACTCAGGCGACGCAGGACGAGACGCAGGCTCACGCCGCTCAGTAAGACCTCCAGTCGGACCAGTGTAAGGAGCAGGACCAAGGAGAGAGGAGGCAGACGGTAACGCCGACTGCAGCTGGACAGGCTGAGGACACTCTAAGGAGGGAGGAGGAAAAGGAGGAGGAAGCTGACCAAGAACCTGCTGAAGGAGCGGAACAAAGTACGGCTGAGACCGAGCAGCGACACCAGAGCCAGCAGGGACACCCGCACCAGGGTCGGCAGCACCAGCAGCAGCTCCAGCGTCCACGTCCTCAGCACCAGCGGTAGCTCCAACGCCCGGGTCCTCAGCACCAGCAGTAGCTCCAACGCCTGGGTCCTCAGCACCAGCAGCAGCTCCAGCGCCCGGGTCCTCAGCACCAGCAGCGGCTCCAACGCCCGGGTCCTCAGCACCAGCAGCAGCTCCAACGCCCGGGTCCTCAGCACCAGCAGCAGCTCCAACGCCCGGGTCCTCAGCACCAGCGGCAGCTCCAACAGCAGCGGGGTTCGTAACACGAGGCACGCCACTCCGAAGAGTGCAGCGCCGCTCGTACCACTCACGGATCCGCTCGCGGGAGGGGAGCTCCCGAACGGGAGAAGAAGTACTAGCACCAGTCCCAGTAGGACGTCCGGCTCGAGCGGTACCTCTCCGGAGGCTGCAGTACTCTAAGTACCACGCACGTAGCTGCTCCGAGGAGAGGGCTCCTCCAGGTGCAGGACTCCCAGACCTCGTACCTCCAGACGCAGAACCCCCAGACTCCGGACTCCGCAGCTCAGTACCACGAGGCTCCACCCCCCCAAGCTCAGCACCCTCAAGCTCCACACCCCCAGGCTCCACACCCCCAGGCTCCACACCCCCAGGCTCCACACCCCCAGGCTCAGCACCCCCAGGCTCAGCACCCCCAGCAGGACGAGAGTCGACAGCTACCTCAACAGGCTCAACCGGGTCTACCTGAGACACACCTGAGGGAGCGGCACCCTGAGGGGGGAGGGG